TACTTGATAAATTACCATTGAATCAGAATGGAAAAATAGATCGAAAATCCTTACCAACACCTGAGTTTTCATCGTCAACTGATAATATTGATGATAATGTGCCGCGCACCACTGTAGAACAACAGTTACAAAATATATTTAGCCAAGCTTTCCATATTGAATCCCCTCATGTTGAAATTTCTTTTGGTCAACTTGGTGGTACGTCATTGAGTGCTATTCTTGCACTCACATTGATTCGTCAACAGGTATGCAATAAGGTTGACATTGGTCTTTTATTTACTAATCCCTCTATTCGACAACTGGCTCAAGCTATAGAACCTTTATCAGTTCTCGAAGAGCTACAAGCGACACCTTCCACAGCCAATGAAATTCATGAAACAGATGTTCGTCTAACACCTTCACTTGTCGTCGAATCTTTAGGTATTGCGCTTCTTGTCTGTCAGTGGTTGTTGCCAATCATCATAATTCATCAATGGTGTCCACTTCTTTTTCCTCTCTTACCAATATGTCATCTTTTATTCTATGCCATTTGTTCACGTCTACTTTCACCACAAAACATCAAAGATGACAATATTTTCTCTTGGAACTATTATCGTTGGTGGTTTTTAGATCGATTATGGAATAATAATGGATTTTGGCTACAACATATACTTGGTACACCTTTGTACAATTACTATCTTCGTCTTTGTGGTGCTCGAATTAGTCTTAATGCACATATTTATACCATAACTATGGATGCTCCATGGTTGTTAGATATTGGCGATGAAACTTGGATTGCTGATAAAACGACTCTAAACTGCTTATATTATACTGATAATGATACTTTTGCATTACATTCAATTCGAGTTGGCTGTTATTGTTCAATCAGTGCCCGATCTATTCTGTTTGATGGTGTTGATATGCAAGATAATATTATTGTTCAGCCTATGTCATCAGTCACGGGTTTCATTGCATCTCGAACGATTATCGATGGTGACGAACATAAGTCGGTTTCATCAGACATTTTAATCACACATAGTAACCGATCATTATCGAAATGGCATAAGATCTATCAATTTATTATACTCATCTTACTCATCTGTATTCATTGTACACTCTTAGCCATTGTCTATAAAGTTTATTCAGTTGAACAAATACCACTGCCTATTAGTATTGCTTTTTGCTGGACTTTATGGTCAATTATTGCTTGTTTTGTCACTCTTTTTCTCTTGAAATTCATAGTTGGTTCTTGTGCTGCTGGTGAGACATATCCAATTGCATCATGGTCATATTTACATAATGTGTGGCTTCGTCAATTAATTGTATCTAGTTTTCATTATGCCTGGTTCCTACCAAGTGAACATGATTATCTGTATCCTTTTATTCTCCGTTGGCTAGGTGCTCAAGTCGAAGATGATGTCAAACTCAGTAGTATAGACATCTTCTTGTCCTATCCAACAAATTTATTAAAACTCGAAAGAGGAGTCACTAGTTTTGCTTACGTTTTATTAGTTCCTACTGAGATGACACTTGAGGGTGACCATCGTGTAGATTGGATAACACTCGGCTCTCATACAAATCTTGCTAATATATGTTCAATTTTGCCGGGTAGTCATCTTGCATCTAATACTATGGTTGGCAATTTAACACGTATCACTCGAGAAACAAATAGCAACAATGGAGATGTTTTCATTGGTGTTCCAGCTCGTGCTATGCCATTTCAAATGCCTATTAGACAAACAATGAAAGATCAAATTCAAACTACTTCATTTTGGAAAACTTGTTTTTCTCATTATATTAGCAAATGTCTTCTCATAGGCATCTATTGGTCATGTGGGCTTGTTGGTGGACTAATCCTTCATACAATGATTGTTTGCAGTTTAAATCGGTGGCATTCATATGCAGACAATAAAATAATCAAACAGATAATAAGAAAACTAGAAGAAGATCACGAAATTTTTATCTGTCCATTTCTTGGCAATACACAATGGCTAATTCGGTTATTTCGAATATATGGTGCAAATATCGGCAACAATGTAATCTTACCTGATGTTTCTTCTATTTTTGATTACAATTTGGTAACCATTGGAGACCATGTTCGGCTTAATATCAATGCTATTATTGTGGTAATATATTCGTTTTTTGTCATTTTTCATTTAAACACTATTGTTCTTTACAATTATTTCAGTGTCACACTTTCGAACAGCGTATTTTGAAACTAGTTCCTGTTACAGTAGGCAACTCGTGTATACTTATGAGTGGCTCAATTGTAATGTCGGGTTGTAAATTAATGGGTAACAATCGACTTTATCCTTTTACACTCGTAATGAAAAATGACCTATTGCAACAAAACACACAATGGAAAGGACTTCCTGCACGTAAGTCATTTAGATAGATAAAACTAGACACACTTGTATAATGCCATTAAGATATTAGGTAATATTCTGCAAATTTCATTTTGTTCATAATGACTCTTAGGTATTTCTTTATCTGAATTATTGAGAGCATGACTTTCTTGAAGTATTTATTATTGTTTTATAAATGCATTGTGATGATATATACTCATATGATTTATTCTTCATCTCAGAATGAAAAGAAAAAGCCTGAATGAAGAAATCATTTTCTATTATTGATGACAAGAAACTAAGAATATTGTTTGATCGATATAATATATCATATAAAATATATTTTCCTCTCATTGACTTTTCTACTGATCATTATGCATGATATATTTAACGTATTCGATATACTTTTAACGTCTTTTGCTCTGTGTCGCTAATACATATCAACTTTTAATGTATTTTTTTTGTTAGATTTCACTCTAAAATATTTATTCAAATTTCATCCTATGGGATTAATCAGTTATAGGTTAGCATTCTATATTGATGAATAAAAGTTTGTTCGATTTCTTTGCAACGTAAAATTAATTGATATCGCACATTTTCTTGTTTCCACATCTTTTTCTTTGATTCTTCAAAAGTACTATCATTCAAAGTTAAACTATTCTTCTGATGATCATCCCATATGATATATATATATTTATCATTTTAATGCATTGAATCTCTTTTTCTTAGAATCATATGTAGCGAAATCAATATTATCTCAACCTGTAGCCATTTGTGATGATGTCGTCAAATGTCAACAGGAATCTGAGAACTTTGATCGATTGTCTTTGTGGTATGAACAAATTTCAAATGTCTATAAGAATATCAATGAACTACAATGTATGAACTGGGGTTATGCAGATTTGAATGAGCATACTGATGACAACATTGGTTACTATTCGAAGAAACTTTATCAACAAGTAAGTGAAGATGAGTGAAAGAATTAAATACATTTAAGTTGAAATATTTCTGATATAGTATTATAGAGTAACTTTTGATGCTTGAATTAATTGATAAGAATCTTACTCATACCATAGTTTTAGTTACTTTATCATAAATATTCGATAAGTAACAGATAATGAATTGATCGAAACCAAAGAATCCTTATGATGTCTTCGAAGTTTTCATTCATAACTCGTTAAGATGAATAACTAAAAATGAACTAGTTCCGTCTTAATCTACTTGCGCATTTTTGAAAAAAAGTGAGCAATGAATGAAGTGATGAGTGACAAATGTAGCAGCAGTCACCATTAGAAGATTTTGTTTTTCATTCTAGGTTCTTGCTAATGTAACACTTACAGATCAAAACATACTCGAAGTAGGTTGTGGCAGAGGTGCTGGTGCTGCCTGGTGTGTTCGTACATATGCTCCTCGCTCTTATGTTGGAATTGATTCTTCTCGAGATGTCATTAACCTGTGTGAACAATGTTATTCAACAATTCCTCAACTCTCATTTATGGTAGCTGATCCAAAAACTCATTTACCATTTCAAAATGAGTCAATGGATGTTGTTATTTCGATTGAAACAACAAACATTTTAGATGAAATAGTAGCAGTGAAGAAATTCGTCAATGAAATTACTCGTGTGCTTACTTCTAATGGATACTTTATCTGGTGTGGTTTGTGTAATGTAGATGGATTAAGTGTATTGATCGATTATTTAACAGCTAATAATGCATTTATTATTCAAGAGAAAGTCAATATTACAAGAAATGTTCTTCATGCACTTGGTATTCAAAGTAACTTACGTGCTGACTTTATTGGCCGCTATATTCAACCTGCTGATCAAGAATATTGTCGTTTATTGGCTGGATTACCTGACACTCAACTTTATGATAATATGCAACAAGGACGAGCAGAATATTGGCGAGTTGTATTTCGAAAGAAGACAGTAACAGATAAGCCTGTCATCTGAAATCAAATTTTGACTGAACAATAGAAACACTTTTTATTTTTTCAACTAACTATACTTTTTATTTTATCCTTCCTTACTAATGATATATTATTCTACTTCATACTAATATCTCATTTTTATTACTTAACCCTTTACGGCCGAATGTTGTCAAAAGGTAACAATTTTGCCGTAGGGGGGTACGGCATTTTCTAAAAAGTCGGCAGTGAAAAATTGATCCCTATAACTAAACAACAAAGAATATATAGAAAGATAACTTGTTGCTTGTTGTCTTCTGGTAGCCGGCCGTAAAGGGTTAACTAAAAATTATTTTATATTATAGAGTTTTATTTTAGATTATTTTATTTTATTCTAGATGCTCTAAATTGATGCATTTATCGAACAGTAAGTACTTAATTTAATCTAAGATTGTTACTTATTTGTTAAGTACGTTACTTTATTTTACTATTTTAGAACATCCAATTGAAGGTATTTATATCTCACATTGGAGGTAGAAGAGGTAGGACGTGCGGTAAAAATGGTAATATCTTTACCATTTAGCACAAGAATATGATCATATACGGTATTGTTTACAGGACCTCGTAACGATCGACCTGGGTATTTATAGCTATATATTAGATCGTGATTCTGCTTGCATCATTTCACATTATCTTGGTATGTGAATATTGTAATTATTGACCCGCACGTTTGTTTCTATTTGTCATTATATTGATTGGTTACAGGCAAA